ATGTGGTGCTGGGGGATTGAACCGCGGTCCCTGATGCCTTGCCAAGCTTGTTCCAAGTAGGTGCTTTAGACCACTGAGCCATCTCTCCAGCCCCAATCATTTTATTTTTATTTATTTTTTTTATTTTTTTGCGGAACCGGGGATTGAACTCAGGCCCTTGCACTTGCCAGGGAAGCACTTATTCCACTAAGCCATTTCCCCGGCCGAGGGCTTAGTATTTGATATGCACTATTCTAAGCATTTTATGTCATACCACAGATCTTCTGAATAATTCTGCTTCACAGGTAAGGAAATTCAAGTGCAAGGATGTTGCCAAGTAATTTTCTGACAAGTGGCTGAACTTATATCTGAACATTCTAAGTTTGGCTATAATCCATGGTCTTTCCCTAACATGGTGAATGTTCTAAGAACAATGAGAAATATTATGTTGTTAATATAGTATTTATTTGGATAAATTTTCTGAACGTTCTGGCCATTATTTAATGTAAACTTTCTGTCATGGATGGCTCTCCTTGTGGTAGGACCCATTTATCTTAGTTGACAGATTTTTAAAAGTCCCTTAAGGATATTAATTGAATGTTTCTTCTCACAGTCCTGATTCTCAGGCAACTCTAGAAAACTATCCAACTTGTTTACAAATAAGAGTGATGGTTTTTATCAGACTTCAGAGAAAGCAGGAAGCACATGGTACCTGGAAGTGGAAGGAGTCGCTCTGGGCTGGGGCCCCCGAGTGCCTGTACCACACGACGCCATCATTGACATCCTGCTGGGTGAAGGAGTTGGTCGGCGTTGCTGTCCTCCCATCGGGCAGGTGCTGCCCTTCGTCTCTGGGACTGTCCTCCGGCAGGCTCACCAGGAGGACCACTTCCCCTGGGGACGCACAGGCCACAAGGTCAGTGAGGGTCTCTGGGGGGAGAAAGTCAGAGCTTTCTTCCTCCTTCCTCTTTTTTTTAAACTAAAAATAAATGATGCACTATATTTTTGCCCCCCATGAAGGAAAAGATGCGAGCACAAAACTCAATAGATATCACCGAATCTACCCTTAGGTACAGAAGTCCCAGTCTCTCAGCTGAGCCTTTCAAGGGCAATTCAGTATAAAGTTGCTGACTTGCAGCTATCCTAGCTGCACATGGAGAGCCACGTGCTGACCGGCTATACTCAAAGGCACTGGGTGATTTCATTTCTACACACAGCTTTCTATGTAACCGAAAATGTTTTCTAACCCAGAAAATGCTTAGAAAAATGGGAAATTAGAAAAACATCCTTTGAAAGTTATTCTAGGAAGGATTCTGTCCAATGAGAATATTAATACCTAACTCCAGAAAACCTTTCGCAGGACTGCACTCCGTGGGGTGTTTCTAACCTGGCGTACTTCGTCACACTACACAGGCCTCCTGACACTCTGTAAGGCTCTGCAGTTTGTTGGTAAAGTGAGACTAACACAAGTTGAGTGCCCTACTCTGAGAAACCAAAATCCAAAATGCTGTACATACCAAAATTTTTTGAACACCAACATCACACCATAACAGAAACTCCACACCTGACCTCCCATTACAAAGCCCCAGTCAAAATGTGAGCACATTAAAATATTGCCTAAAATTACTTTCAGGCTATGTGCATGAAAATGTACAAAACATAAAGGAATTTCATGTTTACACTTAGTTCACATCCTCAGGAAATCTCATTATGTATAGGCAAATGTTCCAGAATCTAAGAAATGCAAAACACTTCTGGTTTTAAGCATTCTGGATAAGGGACATTTGACCTGTAGGACTTACTATATGGGTTCTTGGACAGAATGCTGGTCATCCTTATTGTTATTTTTCTTAAATCCTTCAGAACGGCGCTATCTCCACTAAACACATGAGGTTCTTTAGGCTCAGTGAAGCTGGTTTACTTGTTGAGGTCACACAAATGGAAATTCCTAAGATTAGAATTTCGTTTGGATCTGAAGCTCATATTTTTGGTTCTGAATGTTACCAACTGTCATTATTTTGTGTATATTTATCACCATTTACCTGGCTAAATAACTCACCGTGATTTTTCTCTTTCATTCTTTCAACATTTTTGGGCTGAAGCAAAGAAATCTAAATCTAAACACCACCAATCTGTTTTTATTGCTTTCCTTTACCTGAAGCTATTATCTAAGGTGAGATCACAATTCCGAGGTGTTAAAGAAACAATTAAAATTTCACAAGAGTAATGTGCCTTCAAGTGAAGACTAAATGGAAAACTGGATGAACAGCTGAAAACAAGCTACGTTGTATTTTCATGGCAGTATATGTAACACTAAATCTAAAAGAAGCCCGCCACCACTATTATGATGGAGAGTGGGACACAAGAGTAGCGCTGGATGAGAATGAGACTGGGTATCTTGGTCTATTTTTAAACTGTTCTGAAGCTAAATTGTTCAGAAGTTAAAATATCAGACATATTGGGAAACTGACAACACTTTATTTTTCAAATTTGTAGAGCATTTTGCTTGCCCTAGGGAAATTTACTTTCTAACTCACAATAAAAACTCCTTCTAATATTTACACACACTTAATGCAAGTTAAAAATGAGAATAATGTCTTGATTGGCAATAAGATACTGAAATAAGAGAAAACCAACATTATTTTTTATATAATCATGAGCAGAATCAACTCACTATTGTTTTCTTTCTTGTATGACTTTTCATTTATACCTAAGGCAAAAATTCCATTCCCAATGTCTCCCACTTCAATTTCTAGTCACACGATGCTGGCAGGAGAGATGGATTCCCAGGGCAGGCTGGTTATAAGTGTAAGTACAGTTGCAAAATAATGTGAAAGGAAATTTCTCAGGATGAAAATGTGAAAAGTAGAAGATAAAAATTACTCAACGGCTGATTTTCTGGTTTTTCTGATTTATAATAGAAAAGCAAAACAGAAACCGGCACACGCCTATAATCCCAGCATGCTAAGAGGCTGTGGTGGGAGGATTTGGAGTCACAGTCAAACCCAGGCAACTTAGGCATTTAGTAAGACCCTTTACTGAAACTACATTACAAGAGGCTGTTCTTTTTCTTTTTTATTTATTTATTTATTTATTTATTTATTTATTTATTTTTCAGAACCAGGGATTGAACTCAAGCCCTTGTGCTTGCCAGGGAAGAGCTTATTCTACTGAGCCATCTCCCCAGTCCCTGAGAGGGCTTGGACATATAATTCAATGCAAAGGTCTTGGGTCCAGTGCCCAATACCAGAACAAAAAATGAAGATAAAAGAAAAACAATATACTATTCTATCTTAATAAATACATTTTTCTTGTAAAAATTACTTCCATGCTATGCAAAGTAACAGGAATCATAGACTACTGTCTAATTTCATTAATTTCAACTCCATAAATGCTCACTGAGTATCTACTTTGCGCGCCTTTCTCTGCTAGGCCCTTCAGGAGGAGAGGTATTCAAAGACAAACAAACAATCTACCCCTGAAGACCAGCTCCATCTGCAGCTGGTACTACCAGGAGATTCTCAGCAGGTATAAATAGCATGAGCTTATTTGGAACACTTAATATGTGTCATTAGAATACAGAAAGTGTGCAAAGCTTGAAAGTAATGTTAGGCTGCATTTACTCTAAAAAGTGAAAACATGCTTGATGCACGTGCCTGTAATCTCAGCTACATTGAGGCTGAGGCTACCGGGTTGTTAAGTTTAAGGTCTGCCTGGGAAATTTAACTCTGTCCTCCCTGGGTTCTATCTCTAACAGAGGGGTAAAATCAGTAGTTAGTATTTATGTAAATAGTCTGACCAATTATCATGTTACTGAAAAATCCAGACTAGAGACAGAGGCCTGAGGTAAGACTAGAAAGAAGTAAACAGACACAAATGTAACTGAGGAAGCAGAAGGAATAGACCTCCACAAATGCGGCTATGAAGACAAGAGGTAGGAATTGAAAGAAACTACCTAATAGGCTGGGATGTCACCAGTGGGTGTGATACAGAGGATGGCGGGAAGGAGGCGGGGAATTGTTCAATTCAGGATATGCTGCCTACAGCACCTTGAAGCCCATGAGTAGAAAAGGAGAAAGATCTGTACAGTATGGGATTCGTCACAGCAGCGGAGAGGTGACCTTGTGGAGCAGGTCACTTCTGTTTTGTTATCATACAAATACAAAGGGATGATGTGTTAAATACATAAAATGCCAGGTTTCAGTATCTCTACTGGGATTTCCTTCATATAGAAGTTCGTATTTTAGCCAAGAATTTTGAAGTGACATAAAAAAAAATGAGAAAAGAAGGCAATAAAGGAAACAAAGCTTTTGTAAATGAGGGGAAAGAAGGGCTGAATGGAGGAGAAGGGAATGGGAATAAAAGAAGCAAGCTATATCGTGTAGCAAACTCCCTATGATAAATGTTATCATGTATATCTAAAATGCACCAATAGATTAAAAAAATTCTGAAGTGAAAAATCAGTAGTTTTTTTGAGAACTGTAACTTAATTTGAATTTCCATGAACTATCTTGAGATTGAGATAATTTCTATTAACACTTTCTTATACTTTGATAAATAATTTAGATTTGCCAGTTTGTTTAAGTCAGACTTTCCCTCCAGTGATGCTTAAGATACTTCATTAAACTCATCTCATTAAGCTTACTTTCAATCCAAGGATAGAAAAGGATGTATTGATTAACTTGCTTAAACATATATTTGAAAACAACAGTGAGTCTGGAAGTGGTTGAATTTAGTTTCTTTATCTATACGTTACACAGACAATTTACATTTGGTTCCATTCCAAAGTCAGTTCTTCATGAAAAGCACAAACCCCAACTTGGACATGCCAGAGTGAGGGACACACTCACAGTAGTAGGTGTCCATGAGGTAAGGACTCACAGATACACCTCATTGGAATAGATGGATATAAGTATATCCCTGTTACATGGGCCTCTTGTCCCCACACCTCACTCACTCTTGAATGGTTCCCAAGGGTGACATGATTTGATTATTACTAATAGGGAGAGCTGGATGGAGAGAGATTGTGTTCATGGGAAGAAGTTAATTAAGAGAGTTGTAATAGGAAAGGGTCACAATAAAGCCCACATGGCATTTATTAAGCTGAAATGGCAAACTTCTACCTGTTTAAAAACCATTTAATTCAGCATTGCTCTACTTAATATTTAACAAAATACTGAGCTGTTTCTATAAAATCTGGAGGCTTGATTTTTGTCTGTTAGTAATCACAATGAAGGCAGAAAATTTAATGTAGCACAAGTCAGAGTTTTAGAGATGAAAAGAACTTAAAAATTATTAAGCTTACAGTCAGTACTTGAAAGTATGATGAGAATAAGAAATTAAATACAAATAGGAAAATAGTAAATTTTCAGTGGAGATATCTGGCAGGTATTATTTGTACCAAGTGATCAAAGTTAACGTCACCAATAATAAGACATAGTGACAGCTCTTGGTACTCCCAGTATGATGCACTGAGAAAGTGGAAAAAGTGTATTCTTACTCTAATAATGCAAAACTATCAGAGGAGTCCAAACTGAGCAGTGTTCTACAGGTATCTGTCCAGTTCTCTTCACAAGGTCATTAAGACCAAAATAAAGAACCATCACACCTTGGTGGAGGCCAAAGCACAGGACCACTAAATGGAAGCTGGGATCCCGGGTTGGGTCAGACAAACAGCATCAGCAGGAGGAACAGCCAGATTTGAAATCAGGCCGGTACTGAGTGGTATTTGGTCAGTGTCAGTTTCTTGGCTCCAATAATTGCTCTCTGTACTAGTTTTACAACTTCAAGAAAGTCTAAAATTATCTTAAAAGAAAAAGCTAAACAACTCATTAGACCTAATTTCTCAAAGAGCCCAACAGCACCAAGAGAGTATGTGCTCCTTGCTCAAGGCTGCACACTACTGAGACAAGGCAACTCAATTTGACCATTTCATAACTAAATATATAATTATAATATCAACCATCAATATAATTAAGATAGCAACTTTCAATTAGATGATGCTTTATATTATCTTTGTGAACACTGGTACTATTTTTTTTTAAAGAAGCTTTCTTTTTATTTTTATTTATTTATTTATTTATTTATTTATTTTTGCGCACATGTGTGTGTGTGTGTGTGTGTGTGTGTGTGTGTGTGTGGCCAGCTCAGCCCACCAGGGGGCGGGGCTGGCTGGCATGTGGTGCTGGGGGATTGAACCGTGGTCCCTGTGCTTTGCTAAGCTTGTTCCAAGTAGGTGCTTTAGACCACTGAGCCATCTCACCAGCCCCCACTGGTACTATTTTTTACAATATCTAAAGTTAATTTTTTCATTATGCAAAACACATAATTTTAAAAATCTGACAGCCCAGAGGAAAAGCAGATTGTTCTTTCTGTGCTATTACTGCGTCAAGAGAGTTTTCACTTTAAATAAATACAATTTTGTTTTTAGATGAATAATTTAGGTATTGTAAAAAATCAGCCTAAGACAGGTAATGTGGTGTCTGCCTTTGGTCCCAATGTCCAGGAGGCAGAGTGAGGAAGATTATTCGAGAACAGTCAAAGCAACATAGCAAGGTTCTATTGAAAAACAAACAAACTATATATATATATATATATATATATATATATATAGCCTTTTTTTTACAGCATTATAAAATTCCTTAACAACTTCCATATCTTTTCTTGGCAGGGGGCGGGGGTACCAGGCCTCAAACTCATGTTGTGCTTCCCAGGCAGGCACTGTACTGCTGAGCTATATTACCAGTCCCTATAATATCTTTTAAAACACTTATTTCATAGGTTTTTTTTTTTTTTTAAAAGATCATCTCTGTTTAAATATCATGGGATTCTAACCTTCTTCCTTGTTTTGATCCTAGCACTACAGACTGACCCCTCCTATATTCCGTGGTCTTAACATACTGTGTTCCCCTTCTGTGGCTCTATCTGTGAGATCACTGTGTGGCTGGACTGAGGATGGGCGTCCTGCAGCACTGTCCACTAACCTTCTGCGAGGGACCCAGGAGGCATCACTGAGCTAAGATTACTGTTTATGTAATGTCTCAGCTTTGTGTCTACCTTCTCCTCTCCTCTCCTCTCCTC